AAACAGGGAAGCATCAGGACACGACTCTACCATCTGCTGAGGAGAACACAGAGGAGCAAACCAGTTCTTGAATTTCCCAACACCATCGATGTACGACAGACTGGGTATTGTCCCAGGAGAAAAGCAGGTAAAAACAGGAAAAATGAATGTGAAGAGAAAGGAAGAGGATGGGAAGAGCAAAGAGAGGGCAAAGAGTACTTCCAGCGTGATGCCAGCACCCAGTCTGAGATTTTAAGGCAGGATTGAAGTTAATTTTGCCTTGCGCTGCACCCAAGCCCCACAGGTCCTGAGTCACCTCCTGAAGGCAGCTCCTGGTGGAAGCTTCACAGGAGGGATGGATTCCTGTTTTACAACTTGCATTAGAGCTGTGGGCAGATGGGCATCACTCACAAACCCCCCTGGGCTCCTGCAGCAATGCCACGCTCAGGTCAAACCAGCACAGCTCTGCTGCCTGCTGCCATTGAGATGCCACTGAGCATCACGTAAAAGCTGAGCTCTTTATCAGTGCTTAATAATACTGTAGAGAGCAGGCAGCTAAGTTCTCAGCCACCCCAGGACATGGCAGAACGTTCTCTTTCTTCCAACATGAATTTGGCTTTGCAGCTGATAGATAAGACCGTCAGAGTCAACACAATGTGCATTGCCTTTAATCAATTGACATGCTAGATCCTTGACAGAAAAACACTTTGTACCCAGTGGTAATTATTTGTTCCCTGCCTGTCTTGGAGATCACAGCACTTCCAGTGTGATAAGCGGATGAAATAGGGGACTTTTTTTCTATGAACTATTCCTCAGTGGATGAAAGTCAAAGCCATCAAACAGCTGTAAGTGGAAGAGTGACACTGCTGCGAAGACCTGAAGACCTGGCCAAGATCTGGTGTGAATGCCCTGGAGATGAAAAGGGTTTGTGGGTGTCTATGGCTGGAAAAACTGGGTACCAATCCAGCTTGCAAGGAGGTAGGGTGACACCAGCAAAGTGTGGGGGTCTTCACTTCTGAGTGAGACTCCTTTAATGCTCTTCGCATGGTCTTCTCCATCAGCCAGCTCTGAGTGCTGCAGGGATGGGGCAGCACTCTGGAAATGTTGTGCTGGGAACGTAATGAAAGGGTGGCGGGGCTGAGGGAGCATCCTCACTCCCCGGCAGGCTCTTATTTGATTGCATTTAGCTTCCCCTCTGCCACGACCTCCTGTTGTGGCTTTTGTCTGCCAAATTAAAGAACCTTTTATTAGAAATCTCACTACAGTGGAATTTATGGACTGAGGGAGCCACCTCTTCACCTTCCCTCTGTTAAACGAAATGACTTGAACTTTTGTGTTCTGGCAGGCGGTTTGCCAAGGCTCAGCCCTCCCCTGCAGCTCTCAGACCAAGGCTTTGCAATTTACAGTCCTGCCTCCCTTTTAGCTGCTGCCTGCCCAATGTTTCTTGTGTAGGATTGCTGCATTCTGCAGGAACCTAGCACAGTACGAGGCTCTTCGGTCTGGGATATGTTGGCCACCAGTGAGATGCTGTGCTTGGATTCCTCCAGACCATCAGCACCACCAATGAAGAAATCTTGGTTGTGGTTTTGGGGCAAAACTCATGATGGGAGATGGGAATGGGGACAACTTCTGGGAAATCATGAGTGTTCAAGCTGCTGTGAGTTGAGATACAGACTGGGTAATCAAACACATCTTTTAGGAAATGGCTACCACAGGAATTCAGCACAGAAACCCAGGAGCTGAGGTTTCTCAGTCTGCCTGGTCTGGAGGGACCCTCGTCCAGGCTTAGCTGTCAGCTGATGACAGTTTATCTGCTGGAGCCCACTGCCATCGTCTCACTCATCTTTCCATCCTCTCTGGGTGCCACTTTGTGAGCTGCTTTTGCATTTGGGGTTTGGATCCTATAATGTTCCCATTTCTCCTGTGGACTCCAAACCAAAGCAGGAGATGCCCATGGGCCTTCAAGCACAGAGATACAATGCAAAGGGCCAGCATGGCTGTAAGGCCACCATGGATGTAAGGTCACCATAGATATAAGGCCACCATGGATGTAAGACAACATGGATATAAGACAACATAGATAAGGCCACCATGATTCTACGGCCACCATAGATGTAAGGCCACCAAGGATGTAAGACCACTATGCTTGTATGGCCAACCCTCTTCCCAGCCATTAATGAGTTTAAGGGATAGAAAGACCAGTTCATACAAGGAGCTCAGACCAGACAGTGCTGTAATGGCTGCTTCAACCCTATGCACATATAAGGGCCTGGAGATGTCACAACAAGTCTCCTTGGGTCAAGGATGCACAAATCCCCTCCACTGACCTAGAGGGGACCACGGGGATTTTGCAACAGGAGACGGAACTTGGCATCTCTGCAGCTTCACAGCTGTGCTGTTGTCGAGCACTTGTTAGCAGCTAATGGCTGCTGGGCATCCCATGGATAATGACCATGCGGCCTGAGTCCACGTCTCAGGAGATAATGAAACTGATAAGACCAAATGGGCTCTTCAGCACACCCCTTGGAGGCTGTGCTCTTTGGGAGCAATCAGCTGCTGTTCCATGCCAGCCTGCACGCTCAAGTGGCTTTTCTCTCTAGGGTGGATCAGCAAAACTCTCCGCAGCACCTCTGGGCAGCCCTGAGGTGCCCCATCTCATCAAGCTTCAGCAACGACTTCCAATGGCTCTTTACCAAAAACTCTTATAAGAGATTAAATTGCCAAGCGGGAATATTTATATCCATCCAAATAACTCCAGGAGTCACTGCTGCCTTTAACCCTTAGGAGGCAATATCCTCTGAACACTTGCCTGGCAGGCTGGAAGAGATTGAATTGGAATCTCCAGGTCTGAAAGGACTTTGCCTGCCCCTTTTCATGGTGACATTGTTTTTAGGGGTGCTGAGGCTCACAAGCTGTATATTTTGTTGGGAGCCTTATTTTTTGTGTATGGGATAAAAATATTGAGGGGACTGGTGCCTAACTTTGGCTGTAGGGCAAGAGAAGGTGAAGGAAAATTCAGCCCAAATGTGTGTGGAGATGTATTATAAGGATCCTTGGTGCCATGACTTGGGGTTACTCACTGGCTGGTGAGTAGAGCAAGGAGCTGGGCTGCAATTCTGTCCCTGTGTTCACCCAAGCAAAGCTCCTATTTACCATCCAACCGGTCAAAGCCACACCAAAATCAGGGAGAGGAGTCAAAATGGTGCCAAGTGTGGCAGGGTGCGATGGGAGAACGTGGTTCGGGGTTTGCAGAGACAGAGCTTGGCTATCCTGAGTCATTGCACTGAGGTCAGTGCCACCAGTGGGGACCTGGACTGGGCACCAGCTGCCTTCATTCCCCATTAGGCATACACTCATCACAGCAGATTTTAGAGACAACATGAAGGGTTTTGTGTCTCCTGTGGTCCGGAAATGGCAATCGCCATCAGCCAGGAGAGCTGCCCATGTAAGCCCAGCCCTATGTCAGAAGCTCTTCATGTTGGTCCCACAAAGCCAGGACAGATGACGGGGCTGGAAGAACGGGGCGATTATTCCCAAGACAGACCCACCTTGAACACCCTTGGTTGGTTTCTTGCTTGCTTGCGAGGTGGTTGGATATTAGAAACAATTTCTTCTCTCAAGAAGAGGCGATGCATTGGCACAGGCTGCCCATGGGGGAGCCACCATCCCTGGAGGTGTTCATGGAACGTGGAGATGTGGCACTTGGGAACATGGTCTGTGGGCATGGTGGGATGGATTGGGGTTGGACTTGGGGAACCGACAGGTCTTTTCCAGCCTTCATGGCTCTTTGATTTTATGATGGCTCTGTACTTTTCCCAGGGCAAAGCGATGCTGTCAGTCCCACAGCCAGCTGCAGACCCAACCACCACACCTCCAGGCTACAAAACCAGCAGGGTTGGGAGCTTCCCAAAATTCGTTTTCTCTCTTTTTTGAGGGGAGAACTGCATCATTTTGACCCAGTTCCCTTCCACCTCTTGGTCAGCGATACATGAGACTCCAAGAGATGAGCAGGATGCACAGCCAGTGCAGATGGGGATGTAGTAGGGGACTAAAGGGACTTGGTGCCCACTATGCACTAAGATCACAGAATCACAGAATCACAGAATTGTAGGGGTTGGAAGGGACCTCCAGAGATCATCGAGTCCAACCCCCTGCCAAAGCAGTTCCCTACAGCAGGTCGCACAGGTCGGCATCCAGGTGGGTCTGGAACATCTCCAGAGCAGGAGATTCCACCACCTCCCTGGGCAGCCTGTTCCAGTGCTCCTCACCTCACTGTAAAGAAGTTCTTGTGCACATTGGTGCAGAACTTCCTATGCTGCAGTTTCCGGCCGTTTCCCCTTGTCCTGTCTCCACTCACCACTGAAAAGAGTCCGGCCTCGCCATTCTGCCCCCCACACCTCAGATACTGATAGACCTGGATCAGGTCCCCTCTCAGTCTTCTTTTCTCAAGGCTGAACAGACCCAGTTCACTCAGCCTTTCTTCATAACAGAGATGCTCCAGAAGATGGAGGGGGAAGGGGCGAGGGAACGGGGTGGGCTCATCCTAGTGCCTACCTCTCGCCCAGACTGTGCTGGGGGCTCCAGCTTGGGGTGGGGGCAAGGCAGAAATGACACAGCCCGGCCATTTCCACAAGACCAGCTTTAATATCAGTCATGAGAACGAGGAGAAAGCACAGAATCCATTAACAGAAAAAATAATAATAATAAAAAATAAAAATAAAAATTAAACACGCACACACACACACACAAAATTAAAAAAGGAAACTTCAGAAACCCACCGCCCCGTGCCCACCCCTCCCTCAAACCTTCCCCCCCTCCCCCAAGGACTGTCCAGGCACTGCAGATGGAGGAGCACGACACAGCAGCCGGGTGGGGACGATCCACCGAGAGCCACACGGTTGCCCCTCCGCAGGGATGCTCACCTGGGGGTGTCGGGCAGCGCTGAGGTGGCCCGGCCTCGGGGACCTGGCTTAGCTTAAGATTCATCACAGACTGACACGAAGGACAAGAACGTAAGAAGAATCCAAGAGCTGCGACTTTTTGTTTCTTTATTCTAATTCAGCCTACGACGTTAGTAATGGTGATTTCAGGGGATGGCTGGGCCCGCGAGTTCCTTCTTGTAGTGAAAATCAGAGACTGTAAAGAGGAACAGAGCTTATAAAGACAGCTAGGGATATATTGCCGTAAAAAGAACTGGCATGCAGGTGCTTTGTACATTTGGCAGTATGTGAGGTGGCGGGGCTTCTCAGTGTTTGTGGTGCTGGTCTCTGTGTTTTGTACAGTTCAAAAAGGAGCTGCTGCCTTCACAGCTTGGAGACAACCCCCCCAGAGGAAAGGACAACACAAGTCAAGTCCAAGGCGTCTCTCGCTTGGTTTTGGCAGAGTATATATATAATATATATATTTATTATTTTTTTTTTAATGCATAGCGATTTTCTTCCTGTTTTTTTTATTATTATTATTATTTAATTTTTTTTATTAATTAATTTATTTTTATTTTTATTTATTTTTTGCCCCCGTTGCAAACCTGAGCTCGGTCCCTGCTTTCCCGTGCAGTTTCCCTTCCTTAGGTGTTGGCACTGTGCAGAGGTCGGGCGGTGTCAGCAGGCGATCTCCTCCAGTGTTCCCAGGGTGGCCTGCAGTGGCACGTTCACAGTGTGGCTGATGGTTTCCGAATGGTTTGGCATGGGGTCACAAGTGCTCTGCGATGGAGAAACGGGACGGGGTTACCCCGGGGCTGCTCTCCACCCACTGCCTCTCCTCGTTGGCACCGCTAAATTCCTTTGCTACGGAAGCACGATCAGTCCTTGGGAAATAACGCAGTGATGGGGCTCCTTACCACGTTTTCATCATGGCTCCCTTCCTCTTCCTCCTTGCCAAGTAGGTCTAATAATTTCTCCTTGATCAGCTGCAAAAGAGGGAGGGTTGGTTAATCATAGAATTCGGTGATTCTATGATTCTAAACCGGGCAGGATGAGGTGAGCAGAGCGCCTTCTGACATCAGCAAGGCACGGAATCATAGAACCACCAAGGTTGGGAAAGACCTCCAAGATCATCCAGTCCATCCATCCAGCTATCACTGACCGACCATGTCCCAGAGTACAACATCTGAACATTTCCTGAACGCCTCTACAGCAGTGACTGCACCTCACTGAGCTGGCCAACCCTCCCTTGAATTTTTGAGATTTACCATAGAATCATAGAAGCACCACGGTTGGAAAAGACTTCCTAGACCTTCCAGTCCAACCATCCTCCTACCACCAATATTTCTCTACTAAACCATATCCTTCAGTACAACACCTAAAAGCATGGGGCAAGAGCTGGAGGGGCTCTGGGCTTGGAGGACCCAGATTCAACAGGAAGGAATGAGAAAATCTTCCAGAGAAAACCAGCCCATGTGTCAAACCTGATTTTTTTTTTCACAAGAAAAACAACAAAAAGCTCCCAAACCTCAATTTAAAAATATCTATTTGGGAGTTTATTGAAAATGTCAGCTATGTGAACACAGCTTCCCCTTGCAGCCATGGCTCCTCAGGAGCTGCTGCTGAAAAGCCGATTTGATTTTCAAGGGAAATCCCACAAAGGATGAGAAGGGAGTGCAATTTTTTTATTTTTATTTTTTACTGAAAGCCTTCCACAGGGAGGAAGAAATAAACAACAACCCAAAGAAGCAAGCTAAAAATGTGAGCAATTGGGTCAGCTCCTAAGGAAGCAGTTCCTACGGCATTCTCCTGATGCTGGTAGGAGATGCTTGGTGGGATGCAGGACTGGCTGCACATTCTGCCCTGGTCCAGGACTGAGCAGCATGAACAATGGGAAAAGCCATTCCTAGGCTCAACCCTTTTGATTTTGGGTAAGCTAATAGAAAACAATCCATTTGCTGGCAATCTCAGAGAGTTTGCAATGAGTTCAAGGTGCTTTGAGCCCTGCCTTGCTGAAGCCCTGAGCAGATCAGAGCTATTTGAGGCATTTTATTCCTGCTCTCCCTGCCCAGTGTGGGTCAAAGATCCATCATGACCATGAAGGTGAACTCGCTGTGCAGCCCCAGGTGTGCATTAGGAGATGGGATGCTCTCTTAAGCCATGTTTGCCCAAAAAAAGAATGAAAGAAATAAAAAAAATACAGCATGAGGAAACTGTTAGACAAGTTCTATAAGCAGATATCAAACAAAGGAAAGAAAAAGAGAAGAAAAAAGTCCAGACCTGGCAAGGTTTCTTATTACCTTATTCTTATTATTCTTATGAAAGAAGCCCAAGATAGCCGAGAATAGGAGATTTTAATGAAATATGGTGTGAATTCAGACTGAGATATAAACCAAGGCACCCGGCTCTGTTTGCACACCCAAGCCATTATTAGCTTTATGCTTGTAATTTTCTATCTATTTTACTGCAGGATAATGCCACCAAGTGCTAACAGCCATCCAGAAGGAGCTGTGATGGGGAATGACTGCCTTAAAATGCAGAGCCAGCATCTATAATAAAACTGAAGAGTTTTTTTAAGGATGTTCCAGCAAGATTGAAGCAGACAACATCCCCATGCACCCAGCTGGCTCGGCACACATTGCTGTGGCAAATGCCACAAACAACCTCTAAATACAATATCCCACAGGATTAATAATCCCCAGTGCCATCATGATAAGAGGTGGACGACGGAGATCCAAATTATTGCAGATTTCAGTACAGAGAGACTAAAAATATTGCATTAAACCCCCCAGTTTGGGATGGGAAGTGACAGATGTGCTGGGAATTGCCTCTCCCCAGAGGTGTCACATCCCACTTGTAACTGTGCCATAAATTCATTCTTTCCTGCTATAAAATAGGGCTTGCAGGTTTGGGTTCTTGGGGTCGTCTCATTGCAAACAGGGACCAAAATCCCAGAGGCTTGCTGCAGGCCCCCCAGATGCTCAGTTTCCCCTTTACAATCAAAAGCCATGAAGCTGACCCCCAACATTAACGCTTTTGCAATATGGTGAAGAAGAGTGGGAAATGAGATCCTGGAGGAGAGAATGCTCTAGGGAGGGTTTGTTTGGCTTGAGGTCTTCTGGAGGTGAATTATATGGTATAATTAACTTATAATTCTTATATTATAGTCATTTATAATTAATTCTAGCATTAGTTGAGCACGTTGGGCATGGAGGGTTGTGATCTGTGGTGGCCCTGGCTGGCATCAAGGCTTTCAAGCCCAACCCCTGCCAGGAATAATGTGAAGGCAAGGCACTTACCTCGTATATATAATCAAAGAGCTCTAGTATAGTGAGGATACTAGCACCAATAAATAGCCCCATCTGGCCTCCAATGTCACCTAGGAGAGAGAATAACACGCTGATGGTTTTACCAGAGCAGCTTCATCATCAGCCTTTTCCTTGACCGAACACCTCTACTGCCCAGCCTGATGGGTCTCAAGCACTTAAATCGTTAGTCATCACCCACAAAGCTTGACCCAATTTGAAGCTAAGCAGCCCAACAGCTCCCTGACCTTCCCCATTGAGCTGTGGGGCAGCATTCAAAGGCAAAGAGCCCGGGGTCCTGGATGGCCCTGCTGGAGATTAAGATGAGTTTGGAGCAGGCAGGAGGTGGTGGGTAGAAGGTTTTAAGAGATAGCTTTCTCCATACTGCCTTCCAGCATGAGAATCACCACTGAGAGCATCCATTGCCTGCTCAACCCGAATATCAGGGCTCTGGTATCCAGCAGAGATGGAGCAGCTCACATTAACCTCTCATGGGTGACATATGGATTAGCTATCGTCCCTCAGATCGTGGCCCCAAGCTTGGTGTCAGAAGGAAAAGAAGAGAAGGGATTGAAAGTGTAGTGGATAGAAATGTGGTTGGATTTTGCTGGGATTTCACAGGATGCACTCACTTGTGGCATCTGCCTGTCCCATAAATACACCCAGCTCACACAGACCTGATAATATACCCCGACTCCTCCTTACCAAGTAAGGCTGCCACTTCATAGGCTTTCTTCTGCTCAATCGTCTCATAGTTGAGTGCCTCAAAAAATATGTCCAAGACAAGAATATTTTCTCTGTAGAAAGAGAACAACAGCACCAGCCCATCAGCCACCACTCTGGGACAAGGAAAAGATAAAGGGATCTGGGGGCTTTTCCCCCACCCCCTGTCCTCATCACTCTTTCTGGTGACCTACAGACACCAGGAGGCCAAGGCCGTACTCTGGGAGCCTCAGCACAAGCTGGAGAACTCCTCTCCAAGATCTCTGCTCAGGATCTGAGCGCTGGATCTCACTTTTATGGTAAGAGCAGAAGCCTGAATGATGATTAATAAGGAATAACTCTTGCTGTCTCCATATGGATCACAATGTGCCCAGGACTGGTAGAGGCCCAAGGTGTCCCAATAGCTCTCCTGGGATGAAAGCAACCCACACCTCATCTCTTTGAGGGCTCACCCTAATCCCCCATGGAGGACATACGCCCATATTGTCAAGGTCTAAGCACTTGTGGTTTAAATGGCAAACAGATCTTTACTTTTCACCCCCCTCCCCCTTCCAAACGAAGGAGTTCTGTTTTCTGCAACACTCACGAGATATATTTTTCTGATTTGTTAAATTTCTTCTCCAGGTACTTGGCTGAAGTCTTGCTGGGGATCTTGACCATGGAGAGCTCTTTGTTGTACCTGGTCAGGTTACAGGGTGTCCTGCAGATGCAGTAATTGCTGTCTTTTTCAGCAAGCAAACCTGGAGAAGGTGGCAAAGTTTGATCTCAAGAGTTGGAAATAGGCAGCAGATGTGGACCCAAAGGTCACACAGCCCAGAAAGGAGCCAAGCAGTCAGATCTCAAATGAGAAGAGCTGCAAGAAATCCCGGCCATTTCTTTTCCATTTTATTGCACGCCATTCATAGCAGATTGAAGACAGGCTCTTCGCTGGAGGCCATGCTCTGTTACCAGCATCTGCCTGGGGTTGTAACTCATCTCATGTTGATAACATGCCAACCCTTTGCATGCATCTGATCCTGACAACAGCACTCAACCCTGGAGTCTCCTAAATCCCAAACTAGAATGTGTTGCTCTCTCTCAACCCCAACCCAACTCCAAATCCAAGCTCAAACCCAAATGCAAATACAATCCCAAATCCAAATCCAAAATCAAATCCAGCTCCAAATCCAGACCCAAACACAGACCCAGACCTAGAAGTGCTCCCCTCCTACACATCTCAGGGTGCTTGTTATCCTGATTCTTTCTGCCTCGATGGAACCATAGGACAGAGGAACCTTTATCCTAGGGAATATCCTGCCCTCCCCAACATTCAGATCTTATCAAAAGCCATTTCTGGGCTGCAGCTGTTGCTAATGACCCCATCCAGAAGGACACAGGCTGCTGGAAGTCCCCCCAGCTTGGGACTCCCATGACATCCAGAGACATCTCCTGGTACTCACCAAGCGCAGGCTCTGCACATTCCTTGTACTGCTCCGGGGTACAGAAGGGAGCATCCCCTGCAGGGAAAGGACACATCCATCACTGTTGCTAGGGACTGGTGACATGGAAGCTTTTCAGCCCTGTCCTGTCTCCCTTTTCAGTCCCAAAATGAGCTGAGGGCAGTGTGGGGACAACAAAGAAATGCCACCACTGACTTGACATTTGCAAAGCAAGCCAAGGATGGGTTGGGCAACGAAAGGATTGCAGCACCCATCCTACCTCTGCTGGCTCTGGGGGCCTTTTTTCCAAATCAGAGTCACAGCAAACATCACCCAAGGGTGCTAATCCAGGGACAGAGAGGTGTTACCAGAACCATGGCCCTCTGCCACTCCTGCCCCTGTTTCAGGGCATTTCACAAACATTTCTAGCACCCTCTTCCCTTTAGGACAAGATATTCCCAGCTCCTCTAGTCCCAGGTCCCTTGGCTGGTGGAGGCTGGGTGGATGGAGAGGAACACTGACCTGGCATGTGAACCATTTTGCAGTTGCAGTTTTCCACAATATACCGCGTCTCGCAGTCGATCCTGCAAGCCGTGATGCTGTAAACGGGAAAGAAGTCTAAGCCCATGTCTGACGAGCGACATTCACCCCACGGCGGAGGCAGGTAGGTCAGCTGCAAGAGAGGGAGGAGGGGGTGTCAGGGGATGCAGCATCTCCTCCCACCTACCGATAGGAAGGAAAGGGACCACGCTGGCTGGGGAGAGGGGCAACTCAGCTTGCCTAGTCCAGCCCAACCCCAAAAATTCCAGCACGAGTCACTCTCAACTCCAACTCCCAAACCCGCCCAGGTTGATGCCTACTGGTCCAACCCTTCATCGTGATCTTGGAAATGGCATTAAGCAATTGCACAAATCGGTTTCTCATACCCATCCTCACCCTCCCAGGAACTTTTTTGCAGTAAGCAAGTCCTTGTGCTGCAGAGCTCCCCTCCAGTCCAGCAGCAGAGCCCAGCAGGATGGTGCACAGGGGATGTGCAGCACCAGGCATTCTGCAGGACCAGCTTTAAAGGAACACTTGGTCCTTTCTTGCACCATTGGGAAAATGCTGCTCGTGTAGGGACTGCTGGGGAGGCTGTGACTTACAAATTGGCTCCAATTTGGTGAGAACAAACACAGGGTAATCAGCAGCGGTGTGTGACAGCTCCTGGCTCAGCCTTATGCTCATCTCATGGGGACGGCGCAGGCAGTGCTGGTGACATTAAGGAGCAGATAATGGAAGCAGCAAAATTCCAGCAAAGGAAATGTGATTGCTGTGGTGCGAACAAACCTGGGTCTGCACCATTCCTTTCCTCACATAGGCACTTTTCACACTGACACAAAATGCACCAGGTGACAGCCTTACACAGTAGCACCAGCTTTGAGAAGAGGACAAGTCAGCAATGCCCTTTCCAAACACCTCAGCAGCAAGACACAGTGACCTCAGCCATCCACTTTCCTTGCACCCATGCTGCTGACGACCCACCTTTGCACATCACCTTGCACGAAGCAACCTGGACTGCTCAGTAGTAGTGCAATGCAAACCCTTCTGTTGTTACCACTTTATTTAGCATAAATGCAAAAATAAGAAGAGCAGAACACTGCAGTCCACCACAGAAACCTTAATTGCAAGCCCAGAACATGCTGGAGGAAAAACAGTCGCTCTCTGGCCCCCACGGCCAAATCTACCTTGTTTGCCTTCTGTCTGAAGCTTGGCAGGCTTTCCTATTTCTCTTTATCTTTGCTAAATGCTCTGCAATACTTTTTGCTAGAGAGCAGAAAATAGCACTTCCCTAACCCCTCCTCTGTGTTTTAAAGCAGCATCCAATTTGCCATGCTTTGCTCGAAACACTGAACGCACTGTGCTGGCAGAGCACGTTGGCTGGAGAGAAACATTCATTTAAATATGTAGTGACATTAATCATGTTCTAAAATAAATATGTAAACATACGGTGATGGACTACAAGCCTAAGAACTAGGGGCTAGGTGTGAGGTGCTTCCTTTGGGGCTATCTGGGGGGTCTTCTGGAGATGTAGGGGAAAGAGAGTCATAGAATCATGGTTTGGAAAGGAACTCAAAGATCATAGAACCATGATATCACGGCTTGATTGGGTTGGAAGGGACCTTAAAGATCGAAGAACCATGGGATCATGGAACCCAGTGTGGCTGTGTTGGAAGGGATCACAGAGATTGCAGAACCATAGAATCACAGCATGGTTGGGTTGGAAGGGACCATAATGGTTGCAGAACCATGGAATCATTGCATGGTTGGGCTCGAAGGGATCTTAAAGCCCATCTAGTTCCATCCCTTGCTGTGGGCTGGGTGCCTCCCACCAGCTCAGGCTGCCCAGGGTCTCATCCATGGCCTTGGGACCTCCATTGATGGGGCACCCAAACTTCTCTGAGGAACCTGAAAAGGGGTGAGTCACAAAGTAGAGCCATGTTGTGGACCCTGAAGGATGAATAATGAGCCCAGGAACCCTTCAGGTATGGACCTGGGGTGATTACAACAAAGTTGACATGACATGAGCCACGTGATGCCCATACTGCGCTCCAAGTCTCTTTTGTTGGACCAGATGATTTAGTAGTCTTTGTCAACCATAATGATTCTATGATTTGTGAGATCTCTGGTGAGAGCAGAGCCCCAGCTCACCTCCAAAGCACCTTCAGAACATTTGCACCCTTTCTACACCAGCCTGTAGTGCTTGAGAGAAGGTTTGTCTTTGGCTTTGACTTCATAACCAATCAGCAGCTATATTCTATACTGGGCTTCAATTGCAGATAGGGCGAGAAAGAGATGTTGTGAAGAACTTGACTGGTGGTGAGGGTGGAAGTAAGGCAGAGCTTGGAGAAAAGGCCAGGCTTTGGAGGGAGAATCCAGCCCTCTCCAAATCCAGTCCTACCCCATGGCCCTGGGTCCATGGGCTCATAGCTCAGCCAAGCAGAAGTACTTCTCTATGAACAATTTTGCCACAAAAAGTTCCCACCCAGGAATGTGGAGGTGCTTTGCTCACCACTTTGATGGTTCCCAGTTGTTTCAGTCTCTAACCTGCTGCAGGTTTGCAGGACCAGATGGAACCATGCTCAAGGTAGCCCTGCAGAACATCCATCTCCCAGCCAAGCCAAGGCTCCCAGCCATGATAAGATGGCAGTTCCAGGTCTTCCCCTGCATAGGACCAAGGAGAGACCCTAGACAAGCTCAGAATGAAGGTGAAGGGATCTCGGTGTAACAGTGAACCCTCCTAGGCTCAGGTTGCCCACTAGCCAGGCAAGCACAGAATCACCAGCTCCCTTCCCCTGCTCCTGTGAATATCGATGCTGCTATTTAACTGCTGACAAAAACTTTGCAGCATCGCCCATGGGCACTGGAGTTCCCCAGATCCATCCAAATCCACACTGCTGCTCACTTCAGGGCAACAGCAGTGAGAGCAGCTCAGCACAACACGCAGTGATCTCCGCATCCTGCAGGTCCCATCTGAGCCACAGACAGCTCCCAGGTGCGAAGGTGCAGCCGGTGAAGGCTGTTCCCATCTGTGGAACCAGCAGAAGAACTGAGAATAAAAGCAGCTCCCAGACATTTGCAGCATCTCCAAGAAACAGGGCTGGCTCTGAAGCGGGTGGTGTTGGAAGCCTGCGAAGCAACACCTCTGAATGAAAATACTGAGAGCGTCTCTGCAACAATAGCAAAGTGTTGTTTGAAGAGGATCTTTTCTCATTTGCTTTACACTTGCTGCATAATAGAGTACCAGATGCCATCATTTAGTCATCCGCAGCGGAGAAAGGGGCCCATATGTTGCACGTTGTATGATAAAGGAGAATAAATAATCACAGGCTCAGATGGAATCAGCTCTCTTCTGAGCACCGCTACACACAAATCTTCTAAGCCCTGTAAATTTTATTCTGAGATGTAGGTGACAGGAGCAGGAGATGACGGAGTCGCCATCAGACACTGAGCTTACACAGCTTTTGCTCAGCCAGCACTGGATGTGAGCCACAGTGTTTGTGAACCAGCACAACGTCTGCAGGAGCTGCACAGGCTGAATGCTTAATTAAAGCCAGCTTCATTAACAGAGTTAGGTCTTGTTCCAGAGCCAGGACTACGAGCACTATCCGCCCATGACCTGCATTAGCACAGACCCCATGCAGTGAAGCAAAGCTGGCTTGCTTCTCCCTCCAATCATGGGGTTCCATTTGCTTTGCCCACAATTTACTCCTTTCCAGCTTCCCCAATATGCAGCACACAGATCCATGTGCCACCATACGTTCCATTTTTTGCTCTCAGTGTTAAGACCCGCCCTCCCTGTGCAAGTCAACAAACTTCTGCCTCTCTGAGGGACTCATCAAGGGCTATTAGTGGAGCTTCCATTGTAATTACAGCTTCAGAGGCACGTTGCTTCCCTTGTGCTCTGTAATTTGTAATCAGAAGTGAATCCTCAACTGATCAGCACTACACATGGGTGTGGGACCTCTCAGGAGGGGGCAGGTACATCCCCAGGGACTCAGCTCTGTGCTGCTCCCAGGCAGGGCACATCCTCAGAAATGTTCCCTGAGAGGAGCCCCTTCAGCCCCACAGCCACGCTGTGCTTTTGCAAGAGTGCACCTTGCAGGGGAAGGCTCAGAGCAAGAGGGCAAACACTTCTGCAGCACACAGCTCAATCCTGCCAAAAAGCAATGGAGCAAAATCTGAAGTTTCTCCCATTGCAAGGCCCCATCTGTGCTTCCATGAGCACTGCAAGCCCTTTGGTTAGTGCAAACTGTGGGGTTAGTGAAATGATGAACCTGTCTGCAAAAGCATCCTTCCCTGCAAGCCCCTGTAGCCCTCTCATTGATGCAACTGGTGCGCTGTCAGGGCTGCAAATTCACGCAAAGCCTTTGTATGCACAACAACTGACCCTGGGGTCTGCCTGGGCTGTGCAGTGCAGATACCTGGATCTCCAGTGCACAGAGCTAACAAAGTTGAGGCCATCACACAATGCTGCCTGCCTCACTTGCTTTGCTTTCCCCTCTTTTGTGCAGTGCTCATTTTTGCCCCAAATGCAGTGAGCAGTGGGATTTGGTGCTGGACCAGAAGCTGCCCGGGGATGCTGAGCTGCTCCCCACCACCAGAAATGAGCGACGTCCCTTAGAAACTGGAAGGAAAGGATGAAAAGAGCAAAGCAGGAACAGTTTCTGCCCTCACTTCAGTGGCACTGATCCATCATTTTGCTCTGCTTTCCCAATAGCTGGAGTTCAGCATCAGCCCCTAATTGAGGCCGACAAACGCGCATCCCCTCACATTCGCCGTCATTAATACTTAATTAATTAATTAAGTGCTCATTAAATTGCCTTGATTCCTGCTATTAGGGGATTGCAATGAGCGGTTGCAGTGTGGGAACGTGGCGAAGCTGCTTCCAGCCCTGTTTGCAGCTGTGCTCTGCCATAAATCTGCTTTGGCTCAGCACCACCCGATGTCACCGCGCTCCAGGCACATCCAGAGCCACTAGCCCACCACTGGAGCTTGCAGCCTCAAGGCAAGGTGTGTCTGCTTATGCTGCAAATGAAATAATGACCACAAACCTACGTTCTTTAATAAGACATCAAATGGCATCAACTTAATAGATTTTCAATCCCAGACAGCTTCAGCACTTGTAAAATGCTTAAAAAGCTCAGTGAACACGCTGCAGGTTCCTGTCTCCATCTCCCAGTTAATGATGCTGGAATTTCTCTATTTATCGCCTCCCTGCCCAGGCAGGGTGTGCTGTGTGCCATGCAGCTGTTCTTTCCCATTTACACCAATAAAACTGTCTTGATTGACAAGAGCTTAACCCTTCCAGCAGCCTGCGGTGCTTGGCAAGGGTACACAGCCCTGGATTTGAATGATCACTGGGAGAAAACATTCATTTGGGCACGCTGTGATTTGTGAGCCCCTCCAGGTTCCCTTTTCCCTGGGAATGATTTTGCAAAGCAAAAGTCATTGGGTGGCTGCTCCACGTGTTTTTCTCCCATGCTCAATGAGCTTTGCCTTCTGCTTATATTTTAAATCACAGAACCATAGAATGGTTTAGTTGGAAGCAACCTGAAAGACCTCAAGCTCCAACCCCATACTGTAGGCTGGTTGCCCCCCACCAGATCAAGCTGCCCAGAATCCCATCCAGCCTTGAAACCCTCCAAGGATGAAATGGCAATTAACTCTGCAATCAAATGGCAATTAGCTCTGCCTTTTCCTCCTTGGCTACCTCCTCCACCAGCAGAAGTATTGCTTCACATTCCACTGGTCAATGTGGGCTCTACTTGTTGGACCACGCTGGCCAACCTCACACAGGTGCCCAAGCTGGAGGTTCGTTGGATTTTCTGGAGCTCTGCTATGCTCAGAAAGTGGCTTTCCATCTTTTAAAAGGAAATCTATCTCCTATCCCTGTCACAAAGCAAATGGTGAACAGAAACTGGTGATCACCATCCCATACACACTCATGACGTGCTCAAAGAGTTTCTCTTACCAACCTCCTTCCCAAAGGAGCCCTTTAAATTTCTCTCCATCTTCATCACTCTTCAGTCAGACTCATTTCCACTGCTTGCTCCAAGCCCATTTCCCCTTGTATCTTTTTAGGCCAAATGCCATTTTGCAAGCAAAACCACACAGTTGCCCTACAAAAACATCCTTGCAATGGCTTCCATTCATCCCCCTTGATGTTTTTGCCACCGCTGGCTGGCTTCTTGCTGTTTAATTCATTAGAGCCCAATGACAGACCGGAGGAAATCAACAGGGAGAGCGCGTGGGATTGAGGGAAACTGAGAGCTAACATTTCCAGGAGGAGGTGTAAGACTGTAGGTAGAAGATGCTCTGAGTGAGCGTTGGCAAACCGGGGAAATGTCACTTAATTGCTCCCAATTTTCAAACGCAACAGCCTACGCCCTGTTTGAAAATAGGAGTCAGCACTGCTGGACCCTGAGCCCCATTTCCCTGGCTCTGTAATTACACTTTGTGATCCTGCAGTTGTTGGTAGCTGATGCTCTCTGTCCCGTGCAAACATTACAGGGGGATGAGTCTCCAAGGCGCACTAGAGCCCTATAAAACAATATTGCTCCGTCTTTGAACCTGTTGCTTAATTGAAGCCTCTTAAATTTTTATTGCCAAGTTGGCAGAAATTGCCATTTTAGTGTGCTTTTCATCTTCCCTAACGCACGGCGCCGGTGGCGTGGCAGGGAGCAGCAGTTACCCATCCCATCCACCATGGGTGATGCAGCAATGATGCCATAAAGCACAGCTGGGAAAATGGGATGAAAAGATGGCAAAGCCAGGAGGAATCTGTTTTTGTTTTTTTTTTTAATGGATCAGCCTTCCAAAATATGAATGCCAGTGTGCGCTGCAGCCTTTCCAATGCTATTATGGCCACATGATATTTGAAGTCTTTTCCAACCTTAATGACTCCTTGATCCTATGGTACACACAACGAAAGGGTTTTTTCTTGCAGGCTCACCCAAAAGTGTTGGGAAAAGGGAAATTTTGGGATGCACCCTCACAAAACCAGCAGCAGGGACCTGGAGGGCACAGCCCTGTGCACGGTGCTCCTGCCCTGCTTGGTACCAGCCTGCCTGTGCCTGCAGCCAGCTCCTGTGCTGCTGCTCCACATTTGGCTCATTCATGAGAAAATAAACCTTACTCATTAGGCTCACGGATTGCCATAGAAACGGCTCTCCTGCGTGGCCGGAGCATCTCTGCTCTGCCCCAGCTCTTCCAGCTCCCCTCCTCATGTAACACAGTGTAAGACCCCCAGAAAACAGCAGCCAGTCTCACGTCTCTGTGTGAACTGCCCCAGCTCCCTTCCGAAATCACTCAGAGAGGATTTTTGACGTCCTCCATCAAACCACTCCCATTTTAATTGCCACTGCACTGCCTCCAGCAGTGCCTGAGCATTGGGGAGCTCTATCCTAGCTCCTAAATTCCAAGTAATTAGAGGAAATGGCTTCAGTCTGACATGTCCACAGCAGAAAAACACAGCACAAACAGCTTTTATGGAGAACCCCCTGCTTGCACTGCCTTTGCTTTTGCTGACTCAGCAAGCACAGCTTGCTTGCAGTGTCCCCATCTGCAGTGCTCCCTGGATGCTTCCGACACTACTACTGCATTAACACCACCAACCTGGCAAATGTTTCTTAAAAGTCACTCTGCTGGATGGCTCAGCTGCTGCAGAAGGAGGAGAAAAACTGATTTTTTTTTGTTGCTTCTTTCAACTGACAGCTGGTTTTCAAGCAACATTTAAGGAGATCACACCGTCATGGTTTGCTTTTGACCATGGTGATATAAAACATGCAGTTTAGGACTGCAATAATGTGCTGGACTCAGTCTTCTGGGTGATGTTCATGGGGTTTTCCTCCTTTTGCTCTGACTTATGGAAGGAAAAGCACATGCCCACCCCAGGCGTGGAGGTGAGGTATTAAGACTCAATCTGGGCCCTGAATCAGAGATGCTCATTTGGGGTGGTAGGTGTAATTAGACAAGGCAGGGTAATAAGAGGGGGGTGATTGGGGGCTAATTAGACAAGCCAGTAGCATGCTTGTGCTGCAGTGTTTGTAATTAGTGGTTGCAATTAGGCTATAAAGTGACCTTATTGTGTCTCATGAGCTAAGGCTTTGTGGTACAATCTTAAGCCTGTTCCAGGATGGCTGGCACTGAGCAGCAATGCGCCCTGCCCTCTGCCAGCGCTGAACCTGGGGGCAAAGCCCACAGAAGGAGAGACACGCTTTGGCAAAGAGCCTCCCAAATTCTGCTTCACTGCCATCTTCCTTCCTGAAGGAGGGATGTGAGGAGGGAGGGTTTTTATTTCGTTTCTCTTCTCTCAGTTAGCTGTCTTCCTAACACACTCCCTTGCAATCGCTTTTTCTAATAGGAAGAATGAAAAATAATTAAGGTTGGCAGTAGGAAGGGTAGCATTAGGGAAGATTTAGAGCAGGTCTCAGCATTTATGCTTATTCCTACCTAAAATAAAGTCCTCGAGGTCCTCGCTGCAGGCTGTGAGTGGGCTCACCCAACCGACTGGCTGCTGGCTGTAACCCAACAGGTCCTCTGGGGCAGCACAAAGTGACTGCCAATGGATTTATGGAAGGAAATGGGGTGAAGAATGCCTCCCATGGGTCTCCAAGGCCATTTCCTCCAACAGCTGAAGCATCCAAACCCACCAGCAAGGTTTGCCCAGGCCGCGCAGCATCTCAAGAATGAGTCTGGGGAGGTTGAGCAGCACGAGGACAAGGCTTGGCTTGTGTATGGCTGGGACACAGATGGGGCAGGAGCTGTTCTGGACTTCAGCAGGTGCTCACTGTGCCCCTGAAGATCCCTTTGCCTTCACTATCACCGAGGTGTTACACTCCAAGCGAGTGCTAATGGAGCTGCTCATTTTCTCCAGCCCACCAGACTTCTCACAAGACACAGCAAAACATTGCTCTGCTTTAATTGAGAAGACTCCACCTGGCGCCCGCCCACCAGGAGCCCACACCCTTCGTTATGTCTGGGATGAGCACACACAAGCACGTCGTAATGAATGAGCCTTGCTGAAATGCTGCAGCCTCCAGGTGTATTTTGGTACCCAGGGCCAAGGAGAGATGCCTTGGCTTAAAGGTATAGTTGGTGGTGACTTTGCTGAGATGCTTAGAGCTGAAATTCTGCAGCCCTGATCTCTGCGGAGGTTTGATCACAGCAAACCCTCCATGAGAGCCTGCTCACTTTTCTCAGTTTGATTCATAGGATAAAGAATGTTGGACAAGAGCACTGAGATCATCTACTCCAGCCATCGACCCACTGTGCTGCACTGAGAGGAGGCATGAGAACAGGGAGGAAAAAGAGATGCAATGAAGCAGGAAGGTCAGGAGCAAAGGCACTATGGCCAAAAGTAGTGGGGAGAACATTATTTTGCTCCCCAGCTTTCCAAATGCCTACCCAGGATTTGAGTCTAATGACGCCGTATCACATCGCATCCATCTGTGCTGTGATGTGCCACTGCTGGGATGCAGGGATGGTGATGCACCCTGCGCCACGAGCTTCCCACCACTGGCCAGCATAAGTAATGTAATTGGTTTGGTGCCAACCTGAAAGGATTCATGCTGCTCTGCTTAATGAAACACACTCCTCTGGTCTCATTTAATCTCCTTGGAGCATGAGAGATTTTTAGAAGACAGCAACCTGTCTCAGTGGGCTGGATGGTACTCAGGACATTTAGAGACTGCCACAGGTGAACCACAAACACCAAAAAGCCAATCAGGGATACTACTCCCTTCTGTGACTCAAACTGTGAGGGTTGTGGGTAATGTATTGGAAACAAGAAGAGCTGTGCTCTTCCCAGTCTGGAGCAAGGAGTGAAAAAAAAAAACAACATGTCACCTCTCAAGGAGCATCAGTACATAGATGAGACCCACTGGAGGCACCTCGGTGTGCAAATGAAATTTGGGACTTACCCTTTGCTCTTGGGTGGCCACAAAGGTCTGGAATCCAGGGGCCACCCCAAAGCCGAGCTCCTGGACGAACGGTGGCTCCGACTGGCTGTGGATCTGGACTTTGACTCCAGCCTCGAATGTCGTCTCTTCTGGAAGAAGAAGGCAGGGGATTAAGCTGGGATTGGTGGGATGGTGCCATTGGGGACTTTTGTCTGGTCAATACGTGCTGCTCAAAAGGAGATATGCAGGCAGGAGAGCATCGCCTGGCTGATGAGGGGCTGGGCATGATGGAAGGAAGCACTAAGGGATGCTTCTCCCTGTTGGGATCACAACTGTCTGCTGGCTCCTGGTCCTTCACTGCTTTCTATCCCAAGGGCTTGATGCCAGCCTATGTCAGAGAGCTGTGATTTCTCCATACTTTCAAGACAAAAAACAGGAGGTGACACCCATTTTCTGGCTGCTTGTTCTCAGAATTTTAAATGCACTCCCATATGACTAAAACAAATACACTTTTCCTTCCCAAAAAGTCAGTTCTAGTATCTGTATGGTCTCTGATACCAAAAGCATGGGTGCACCCACCTCTGCTGCCCCGCAGCCTCATCTCTGGCACTGACACACCTGAAGCCTATTGGAACATAACATGGACAATGAAACAAGTGTAAAATCCCAAGCTTCAGTTGCTCCAAGCACAAAGGCCCTTTGCAGCTCACGGGCTCAAGCTCATGGCGCTGTTATGGGTTTCCTCACTTTGGCTTATGTGACATCCTTACCTCTTGAGCTCCTCTTCCACTAAGCCAACTGATAACAGGCTTTCTGAAGAAGCTGAGTTAAAGGATGCAAGTCAGACCTGACTGTGCTGATCCAGCACTTTGGGCTCCTCTATCATACAGGCATCTTCCCCCACTGGGGCACAGAACTCTCTTTGGCTTTGCTGCTACAGCCTCACATCCAAGCCAACTACAGGGAGCATGTGGGTTTAAGAGGTGGGGCTCACTGGCAAAGGAACTCATTAGCTATGCATAGTATGGTCTAAACACACAGCAACCCACTGATAGGAATCCATGCCTAGGGCCAACAAATGCCGCCTAAGCATCTGAAGAACTTCTGTTTGGTGATGAGTCACTCTTTATTTTCTTTGCTTACTATTTCTTGGTATTTTTCTACTATTTTATTATGCTTTTCAACTTTTTACCAGCAGTGTATTTGATCCAAAACACTGCCAGAAAACCAGAAGGAAGGAATGTCAGCCCCAGACCTCTTTGATAGCTGCCCATCCCTCAAGGTTTCAGCACTCAGCTACACAAAACCATGGCCAAGCTGATCCAGGAAGCTCCTCCTGTGCCACTGATCCAATGATCCCCAATCCAAACACAAACAACTCCATTCACCTTTTGGGAACAATCAGCATCAAAAAGCCCTACTGTGACTGTGAGGTTGCTTTACTCATTGGCCACTTGAATCTTAACACTCCTTGCCCACAGCATCCAGCGCTGCTCTCTGGCATTTTATCTCAGCATCCTTTACCAACCGAGCAGCTGGAGCAGGCTATTAGTATTTATTAGCATTTAACCTTTTTAAAGCTCAGCTTTCCTACCTCCAAAACAATTTGCAGATAAATAGGATTTATTAAATCAGTTTCCTCCCCAGGTCTCGCATACTCTTGCTAAACCCAGGTGGTCAGCAAGCTGCCCGTGTGCCTGGCTCCAACCACTTGGAGTTGGACTCTGAACCCGCTGGAGGTGTATTATCTGCATCAGCACTCACTCTTAACCACATGTTCCCATTGATCGACACCTCCAGCACTTGTGCTAATCCTGGCATTGGCTTTGCAGTACTCCTCTGCAAGGTAATTGTGTATTTTTACTACCACGTGTGTCAAAATTGCTTTTAGTACTAAACAGTGTCGTGATGGGGGCACGGCAGCATCACTGCTGCACGCTGGGGTGGATGAGCAAGCTGCAGGTGTTTCCCATGTAAAATGCCACATCAGAGCAATAACGGCATAGAAAGGATGAGTTTGTTTTGGATACTGCTGAACTGAAGTCTCATGGAGCAAGATGGGATGTAACCACAATTGCCTCCACTTTTGCCCAAGACACAGTGACCATGATCTGAATTATCCCTGCCAATCTCTCGTGATGGCAGTTGTCGCAAACAACACAGCCCTATTACCAAGACAAGGTAAGGACGGGATAAGAGAGGATATGGAAGAATGGTTTTGGACTAAAAAGTGAGAGAGTTAGGAGGAAATTCTTTACTCAGAGGGTGCTGATGCCCTGGCACTGCCTCCCAGAGCTGTGTGTGCCCAAACCCTGGAGGTTCCCATGGCCATGGGTGGGACTCTGGGCAGCCTGAGCTGCTGGGGGGCAGCCAGTCCACATCAGGGATGGAGCTGTGGGGGCTTTGAGGTCCCTTCCAACCCAACCATGCTGTGGTTCTATGAATCCTATTACCAACAACTACAATAAAAACCTGGTGTATTTGCCTTTGCCTTGTTCTCCCACAGTTTGGCTAATCTCCCTCCAAGGGACACTGGGTGGATGTTGGCATACCCAGGCTCCCTGTCTGGCTGCTCACGTCCTACACTTGCCCACACACACAATCCTCACTGAAGATCCCCTCCCCACCACCACCTCCTCAGCAGCAGCTCCCCAAAACAGTGAGAGGAAAGGAGCATTCCCACCGAGCCTTTGGGAACACCCAGCATCCTCATCCACCCCATCAGTGCCAAGGCAGCCATCTGCCAGAACCACGGGCTTCCACCCCTTCCCATCGCCGCCTCCCGCTCCTCCCGATCCCATTATTTCCACGTGACGCCCACTCACCCAACCCTCCCCAGCTTTGTCTGGTGTTGATCCCCTTCCAACACTTCCAGGCGATGCCATATGCTTCCTTCACTAATTACCTGACAAGTTGGAGGAGAAAGCTTGTATTTAGCTGCACTTGTTGGGCAACGGGAGCTGTTTTGTCGAAACACTTTCGGTCCGAAATTATTCTGCCCATTTCTGCATCTGCCTCACATTTCCCCGGGTCAGCTCTGACTTAATTCCAGGCATTTCCCCAAGTGCTGTGCACTGCTCTGTCTCCATGGATAAACCACTGTGCATCCAGAACATGAGCAAGCAAACAAGATATGGCCTGCAAGTATCTGCAAAAGACTTAAATATGACAGGCTTTGCAATTTAACATAGAAAATCCTGGCTGGAAACCATTTGTAATCACGCACGGGGAAGGGAATGGATTTACTACGTTGTAGAACAAAGTCTGGTTTTAAAACAAACAGTTATTAATTTTCGTCGCTGATAAAAACAAGAAGAGCAAAATAAACAGCGCTGTTCAGAAAGGCTGCCAGAAGCACGAGAGCCTTCACAGAATCATAAAATCATAGCATCACCAAGGTTGGAAAAGGCCTCCAAGATCACCCAACCCAACCGTCCACCTGTCATTGATATTTCCCCACCAATCCACGTCCCTTCATTGCTCCTTCTGCAGGAAACACAGGTGAGATGAAACTACTGAAAACCTTTGCCTGGCTCAGGTGCCAGAGAGATTTTAAAGACAAATTCAAGGGAATTGAGGTTTGGTTTGCACCGTATCACTTTTAGAGCAATTTTGTGATTTTGGGAAGCCCGAGCAGAGACCTTCATCCCGTCTCTAATCCCTTCTTTTTTGAGTGAGCAGCACATATGCATTTATTTCTTCATGCAGCCCATATGGGGAATAGAGAAAATCCCCTTAATGACTGCCTTTATAAATACATAAATACATATTACTGTACACAGGGCAGTGTTTCCAAACAAATCCTGAGCTGCTCTTTTTGCTGAAGGATTGCAGTAGCATTAATTAAAGTGGGGATCAATTCAGCACGTGCTTCAGGCTGGCTGCACAGCAGCGCATGCTGCAGGGTGCACAGCTTTGGAAGTGCCCTCTGCCTGGAGAAAAACAAAGCAGATCCCACCCGGCTCAGCCTGGTCCAGGGTTTCTCAACTATGTCTGTATTAGTTGACCTGGAGGTTTAGATTGGACACAGCACAGAGCTAGGAGGTTTGGTTTCCCCTCGGATGCTCCTCATTCTTTGCCTCAGTTTTCCCATCTGTAGAATGGATGCAGTGTTGCTACTGAAGTTACAGAATCAAAGGGGTTGGAAGGGATCTCAAGAGATCATTAAGTCCATCCCCCCTGCTAAAGCAGGATCCTTACAATAGGTCACACAGGTTGGCATCCAGAGGGGTCTTGACTATCTCCATAGAAGGGGATTCCACCACCTCTCTGGGCAGCCTGTTCCAGTGTTCCATCACCCTTACCATAAAGAAGTTCTTCTGCATGTTAGCGCAGAACTTCCTATGCACAAGTTTGAGGACAGCACTCCTTGTGCTGTCTCTACACACCACCAAAAAGAGCCTGGGCTCATCCATTTGCCTCCACCTCCCTTCAGACATTTATAAACCTATCCTCTCAGTTGTCTTTTCCCAGGCTGACCAGACCTAGGTCACTCAGTCTTTCCTCATACAGATGATGCTCCAGGCCCTTTACCATCTTTGTGGCCCTTCGCTGGACTCCTTCTAGGAGATCCCTGTCTTTTTGGAAGTGGGGAGCTCCAAACTGGACACGGTACACTCAATGTGGGCTCACCAGGGCAGAGCAGAGGAGGAGGATCACCTCTCTCAATCTCCTGGCCACACTCTTTTGAATGTAACCCAGGATCCCATTGGCCTCTTGGCCACCAGGGCACATTGATAGCTCATGGCCAACCTGTCATCCACCAGGACCCCCAGAGCTCCTCTTTCCAGGTTAGTCCCTAAACTGTACTGATGTATGCAGTTATTCCTCCACAGGTACAAGACTCTATGCTTGCTCTGGCTAAAACTCAACAGGTTCCTCTCCACCCAACTCTCTGGTCTGTATGTTGGTGGGCTGGAATATTCTCCAGTGCCTCTTCTACACTCTGTAAAGCACAATTCATGTTCCATGGCCATGTCCCTGTCACCACCAGCTTAGTGTCCCCATAAATCCTTCTAGACATTTGTCAGACAACACAGAAACATGGCAGTAGGAAAAGGAGGAGAATAGAAAAATAAAAGGGGAGCATGTGCACAGTGAGTAGTTTTGCTCAAGGGCTTCTTTCATGGAGCAGAGCAGCACATAAACC